CTGCAGCCCTCCAGGCTCCCACGCCGTCTGCTGCAGCCCTCCAGGCTTCCACGTCGCACGCTGCAGCTCCCCAGGTCTCCTCGTCGCATGCTGCAGCTCCCCAGGTCTCCTTAACGCAAGCCGCAGCTCCCCAGGTCTCCTTAACGCAAGCCGCAGCTCCCCAGGTCTCCTTAACGCAAGCCGTGTTCCCTTTGGCTCTGTGTTTTGGACGGCATCCTGGCCGTCCCCCTGACCTGGCCCGGTTTGATGGACAGCCTCCTGGCTGCCCGCCAGAACAATGACTCTTTGGGACGATCCCTTGACTGTCCAAATCCCTTGTGATCCCTCGTGTATTTTCTCTGGTCCCTCGTGTCCTTTTTTTGGTTCCTCGTGTCCCTTTTCTGGTTCCTCGTGTCCCTTCCTGTGGTTCCTCGTGTCCCCTTTCTCTGTGGCTCCTCATGTCCCCTTTCTCTGTGGCTCCTCGTGTCCCCTTTCTCTGTGGTCCCTCGTGTCCCCTTTCTCTGTGGTCCCTCATGTCCCCTTTCTCTGTGGTCTCTCGTGTCCCCTTTCTCTGTGGTCCCTCGTGTCCTTTCTCTGGTCCTCGTGTTTTCCTCGGGCCCTCCACCCTTGCAGTGCCACCCTCCACCCACCCTAGTCCTTCGGGAGGGGTTTTTTTGGGGGACGCCTGGAGGCGTCCTTGGGGGGGGGGGGTGTACTGTAAGGATGGTACTTTTCTGTGGCCCGGTTTGTCTGTTTCCCTCGTGCTCCCTCAATAGTTCCATTAGTGCCACCGGTGTCTCGTCCCAGCTGTTTGTTATCATGTCTCGTCTTCTCCCTGTGTTTAAACCGTCCTATTCTGTCTTGTTCTTCGTCGGGTCGTTCTTTGTTGGGTACTCTTCCTTGGGTCTCCTGAGTCTTTCCCTGAGTCTTCCTGGTCCCTCGAGTTCCCCGTGCCTCCTTCCTTGTTCATGTAAGTTTTGCTGCCCCGTCAGCTTGTTTATTTTGTACTTTTCGTTTATCATTAAAAACCTATTTTTGTATATCTGCCGAGTTGAGTCCCTGTTCTGCACTCCGGGTTCGCTCCTGACACAAATCCTAACAAGAACTACCGGGCCGTTATTGACCACTCACCACCAGCAGATTGGCGCTCTGGGGTAGAAGGAGCAATTATGAAATTGGAGACTGGCATGGAGGACATGGTCCGCTTGCTTAAGAACTTAAACCCTCAGACTCCCGTTCAGGACTCAGTGGTGGCCAGACCCCACTCAGAACCTATCAGGGAACCAAGACTGACTTCGCCTGAACTATTCACAGGGGAACCGGACCAATGTCGTCCGTTCATCACTCAATGCGAGATCCACTTCGAGTTACAACCTTCATCATTTCCTTCTGATAAGGCTAAAGTGGCTTACATAATCTCCTTACTTTCAGGCAAAGCAAAGAGATGGAGAACTGCTGAATGGCAAAGGGCCTCTCCTAACATCTACTCTCTCCAGGCATTCACAAAAGAACTCTGCAGGGTGTTTGATCCGGTTCTTCCAGAGCGAGAGGCTGCCAGACATTTGTTCTCCATAAAACAAGGTAACAGGAGAGTAACTGACTATATCATCGCATAGACTTTAGGGGTCTTAATAAG